GCATCGCTATTTATTTTAAACGTACTTATTGCAACATGAGGGTACATACTGCTATATACCACAGTTTAACTACGGAATCTATGTGAAGGCTAAAAAGAATGTCGAGATGAGTGTTAGCAGAGAGTTTAAAACGGTTTGCCCTCTTTGGAGCTGCTTAAGGAAACACGCAAACAAATCGTTTTGGAACTTCAAGCATCCATTTTATCATAGTCCACTTACTGCATGTGGCAAGCAGACCACCCCTGAAAATCATGTGGTCGAAAATTCAGTCAAATATTTTGAGAATTGTTCGCAGGAGTACAAATGCTGTCGACAACCTTTGACCAAAGACTCCTCAGGAAGCAGCTAGGGATCTCTCAAATTCACTGACCGTATTTTATCAGCGATCTCCTGAGGATAACCATGTACCACTAGTAATAAAGCAATGGCTCATAACTAATATTAGTAATGGAGATAGCCGCACTGACCCTAGAAATTACTGCCCAAGAACGATACATCCTCTAATATCCAAATGTTTTGGAAAAATTATCGCAGATGCGCTGACGCAGTACCTTGAAAGCTAGATATTTTTAGTTTCAGTGCAACACGGCTTCTGTTAAAAACATTCATACATTATTGAACTATTAGTAGCAGGTCGTAGCCGGACGGAGTCCGTTGATGTTGGAGCAGGAGTGGTTGTCATCTGTTTGTAATTCTCAAAAGCGTATGTTGGCATTAACTATCAAATGCTCCTTCAAACGCTTCTGAACTGCTGCATTGTCGACCTAATTCTGAATTGGATAAACAATTAGTTCATGAAGATGAGTTAGAAGTGAGGTTCCGGGAATCTCTAGGCACTGCAAAATATGTAAAGTTTGATGTACCACAAGACTGTAGGCTTGAGCCTCGTCAATATTTCGTGTTCAAATGCCATTTAACGAGTTTACATGCTGCCGATTTACTATTTTCGCGGCTAATATTAATAAACGACCAAAGCTCAGAGGACCGGATTACCAAGAAAGGCTTCAGTTCCATCTTTGCACGATTTCCAAATTGCCAGTTCAGAATTCCCTGCCATGCGACGCTGACAAATTTCGCGTTGTGAAATTACGCCATACACAGGATTACACACAGGGCACAATGACTACAGACTAGCTCCCAGAAAAGTGATTCTGTTGTGCTTGTAGAAATAGACCTCAAATTTTCAGATCAGGTTGAGGTAGCTGACACAATTTGCAACCAGTACGTCAGCAAGCTGCAAAGTGCACTCGAGTGATTCGGCCTATCATTCTTCCTAATGATGCACATTTAATTCTTGCGTTCTTCTATTGAACACACTATCCAGGCTTGACAAACATGGTTGAAGCGTGACCTAGAGGAATTAGAGGCACCAAAACGAATAACAGTTAGGAACTTAAACAGTCTGTGCTGTCACTTTTGCCACCGAAGGCTGATGTTGTTGGGAATTTCAAGCGAACGCTGCCGACAGTTTCCATGGGATCTCAAATTAGCTACCAAATATTGATCGACTCAAATCGCCTGTGCCGACATATGCTAAACGTTAACCAAAACAAAAGTGCAGGGGTAACTTTTTAATATTGATGGCAAAATATAATCATTTAGGGTGTCGACCAATTACATTTTGCTCACCCTAGAACAGAATCCCAACTATATCAAGGTCTCCCCTAAGTTGCATCACATCAAATTATGATTGGAAGTTGCATTTAGCTCGCAGTTCTTCGCTGTGTTTAATACACCATTTTAAGCAGGTAAACGGTGCTTACGTGCGGGATCGAATTGTCATTTGGACACAAGAATTTGGCGCATAAGTTAGCAACCATATTTTGCTTTCTCACGCTTTACCTAAACAACTTGTATGCTCACCTCAATTTTTATATAACAATATATATAAACAAATTTAGCTTGGAAAATTATTTACAAGTATTTTGAATTTTTGTACTCAGCACAACCGAATTTCTAGTTTGGTCAATTGTCATATATGATACAGTAAAAAATACGCTGTTATCGCTCATTTTAAAGCTGAATGAAGGGAAAGCTGCTTGATTCGGAGAATAATTGACTCATTAGACCAAAGAATTACAACTTTTAGCCAAAAAATGAGCTGGCAGACGAGGACAGCAAATCAACCCAAACCCACTCGTAATCTGTGATGAATTTAGCTCGTGTGTTGCCACCTTTATAAACCTCGTGACTTTCTTTATTAATGCACGCCTTGATGTAAAAACATGCGGCTCCAACTAGATTTGATATTCCGCTTTATTTTATGCACCAGACGATGAATTCCATTAACTACGGTATATTCCTGATGCGAATAGCCTCCACAAATCTAACAAACAACTGGAAGCCTTTTATCCCAATACATTTTTATAAAATCATTATCACAATTCTGGGATCGAGCTTTGTTCCAGATCTACTGCAAATATTTTAGTATGGCTCGCTACAGAGCATCCGTAAAGAGATTTTCGAAAAGTACTGATCAATCTATCCTACTCCTAAAACCACCAAGATTTTCTAAATTGTCTTAGAGAGTGTGCGGAATTTCATCATCCCATTTGACTTAGCAGCTAATTCCAAGCATGTTTTTCTAGGAAAAGGAATTTGACTTAAAAGACTCAGGTTACATAGTCAACCTTTTTATATCTGGATATTTGAAGGGCTTACGATGAGTTGTCTCATAACATACTAATACGTTTGTTATCATTATTCATGCAAGGTCGTCCTCAAGTAGTCAACTTAGGTAGCTATCGCTCTTCACCGCGTCCAGTCACAAGCCTGGTTCTAATAGGAATTCTATATCAGAATGAACGGAAGGAAGAAAACGAGCGAACCTGCTAACTAATTAGAAATGAACGTAACGGATTTGCTTATTGGACGCGGATATGCTGATGTTTTTTGAGATACTTAAATATCTTAACTAAACTAATGGAGTACCATAGTCGGCTCAAAAGTGCCATAATATTTTTTTCCTAAATACATTAATCAATCGAGGAGTTTGGCTTGCCAAACATGCTGTACTTTTCCCTGATTTGGTTTGTCCGTGGTAAAGCTTGTGCCTGAAAAACTGAGTTGGCAAAAATGTTGTACAAGGAACGATGCTCAGTTACAATTGTTATTCTTTCAAGGACAAGTTAGTAATAGCGAGGTAGGCACCTTGTCTAGATGCACACCAAAGCAGCCAGATCGCGGAGATCTGTTACCAAGTAGCACATCGATACCAACTTCAGCATAGAGTTGTTATTTGCTGCAGTGGACTGGGTGCACGGTAATCATGGCCGTGTTAATCACGTAAGGTTTTTCATGCACTCATTGCGGAGCGGACTGCGATCATGAAAACGCTATGTGTCTGTCGGATTCCCCAAATAGAGGATGCATGTGTTTGCCTGTGAAGTAGTGTAAGCCCGCTCCGTTGATGAAACTTGGCTAGCATCACCAAACATCCCGGTATCTACACTGGATATGGTGTGTGTACGATGCCTTGGTTGGTGCAGAGCAACTCACATATGGTCTCAGTGTGCGTGTTATAATCCTCTGGCTGTCTCCGTGGAGTGCACAGTGACAGACACATTTGGAACCGGATGACGCTAATCATATATCAAATATATTGGTATATTTTTATCTGGTTTTCCGTTATTAATTTCCTCACAGTAGACAGGTAATCTAAAAGCTCCCACAAGTTGACCTATAGCACGCACTACTAATTAATCAGGCTGACCTTCATTACGTTCGAATGGTCCGCCAAGTGAATTACGAGACTGTCAGCGTATAAATCAAGTATTATTTTTTCTCGGTTGGTTGTACTCGGCTGATCATAAGCGCAAATCAACGAGACACATAAAGCTTTGCCCTCCATCAATGAATATAATAATGCTTTACTTTAGACTGTGCTAAGCAGGTTAATACTACAAAGCACAAACCAGGTAATCCATGGAAAATATATCAGTTAGATTCAAACTCCACCAGAACTGAATTACGTAAATTCCCAACTCCTCTTACCTTGGACTAGTGCAGCATAATTTATAACAGTGTGACACAGTCTGACAATATATGTACGGAATGCATACAACCATAGTTTGTGAACAGATTATTAAACCAAACGCTCACCAAGAATTACCAGGAGCAATAAGAGCAAAGCCATTTCTCTGGCAGTAGTAACCTTTAAGAAAATTGTTCTAAGCACTTGGTAATCAAATATGCCGCCCTGTGTTTTCAGCTGCTGGGCAAAATCAGGGTTTGTGAGAAAGCGCAACAATTTCTTAATCCTCTAGAAACCTATTTCTACCTGTGCACCATTATGACCTATGTGCTTATCAGAAGTCAAATGTCAGATATGTGATGAGGGCCTAGCTGCTGTTAAATGGGTGAAATTTAACATTTCATAGAATGTAGTTATATCACATTTTCTACAATACATCCCGTGTCCATGAGGCCAGTCAAACAAACGCAAAAATATAGAAGACCTATGTTAACACGAACGCGGACAACGACTAATACACAACTGAGTTTGGCCAAAGAAATATAATGGTATTACTAGCGAATATATATATATATATTCGCTTGTGATACCATTATATTTCATTTGCCAAACTCAGTTGTGTATTAGTCGTTGTCCGCGTTCGTTTTAACATAGGTCTTCCATATTTGTGTGTTTGTTTGACTGGCGTCATGAACTGTGGATGTATTGTAGAAAATGTGATATAACTGCATTCTATGAAGTGTTAAATTTCACCCATTTAAAAGTAGCTAGGCGAATATATATATATATATACACATATATCAAATTTAGGGTCAGCCACTCAGCAGATGAAACATATGTGAATAAGGTTATATTATTATTATTCGATTAGCGTATTATACTAAACAAACAAAATAAGGATAGTTTAAAAATATAAGTATAATAACGAACTCCTGATTGTAAACGCAATGTGGAACATAAAATATATGATACTGATATATAAGTGCTGAATTTTTAATCCAATTACTCCAAACGGAGTATGGCTTACCGGAATGAGAGAAAAGTTTGGCACATATCTGCAGTGTTTTGAGCCCAGTTGTAATATGTATTCCTGAATAGCCTCTATTTTATGTATTCTTGTGATCAGCTTGTCAACAATGTTTAAGACGCGGAGTCCATGGGCCTGAAGAGCAGGATCCGTGTTTATTTCCGTTAACTGCTTGCCTCGGAACTGTGCAAAGGCATCGCGGAAATCAGAATGTTCCTCGAATAAACTGAAGTATGAGAAATGCGGTTCGTATTGAATAAAGCAATTTAGGATATCTACGAAAAACCGTTTATATTAGGCTATATGCTGTGTGGCAAAAATTAAGATAATTCCGTCAATGCAATTTCTTAGCTAAGTAATTGATATTTAGTTATCACTGCAAGAAAGATTGAAAAGACTTACCTGAGTAATAATTGCGTTCGCCGTACTCTTGTTATTTTGTTTTACCAATGATTATATCCCTGTTTGACGATTCGACACGCCATCTGTTCAACCCATTGATTAATTCGATTCACAAGTCGTAGCATCACCTCCGATAAATAAACTTGTGATCAATTACGTTCATTTTGTGTAATTGTCTCCCTATCATATTCGATCTTTAATAACAAGATCTGTTCGCTAAATTCACCTTCTTGAGATTACTGCATTTATATCCCATTTACATGAATAATGTTTAGATTTTCATTGCCAAAGTTCTCGAGAATACGTAGATGCTGAGAAGTGTTAATAAGTAATGCAGCTAAGCGAAATTCAAACCATTAATGCAATTTTAATCATCAACCATGTCCCATTTTAATTTACCATCGATAAGTAATTCTGCGAACAACCGTATGCTGCATTATTTCAGAATAGAGTTCTGGACATTTATGGCGATATGTTATACCACAGCAAAGTTCAAAAATATCTAATAGAAACTGATAATAATCAACGATTTTAAAGGTGCAATATTAACTAGTACAATATTTCTTGGAGCGGTTTTTGTGCGCAACCAACGGTTTTCATATTATATACAAAATATTGTGTGCTTTTGATTTCATTGTGGTAGAAGTTAATAAGATGACATTCTATGTAGAATATTTTAAAACATTTAGCTTGTTAAAATATACTCTTGAACTTACACTGCGATATTTTGTTTTGAATCAAATTGTTATCCAACAGTCTATAGTGAATAATCTGTTTTTTTGTTTGGTTAATGTTGCGGGCACGTCAAATATTCCCACAATAACTCACCAGAAACCCCGGCGGAATGGCTGTGATTCAGTTCCTCCCCACAACGCAGCAAAGCTCAGCCACTCCGAGACCCGGCCCTACTGCGCACCTTTAGACAACGCTCATTTGCAAACTACCACCTTTTCGTGGTGAATGTTTTCCCTAACTTAATAACCCAGAGCACTGACTGTGATTGCCCTTGTTGGTCGTAAAAAAGCCCTCAGAGGACCGCCTGTCTTATCTTTCCTCCTGGCATTACTTAGGAGTCGGTCGGGTCAAGTGATTGCATGTGAGTCATTAGCTGGCCAGCCTTCGCGCGTAGATTATTAGCTCGCCAATCGTATCCCCCTCTCGTATGCGTCCGTTCCGAGGGCTCAGCTGCTATCCGAACACGTGTGCCTAGAATGGTTCAAAAGCCCGATCAATTTTCCGTCTCACTGGCTAAGCTAGCGTCATCAGGTTAGTGCAACTCCGTTCGAGTGGCCAGCGTTACAGATCTTCATCCTAGGCATGCTCCAACCGTGCCATCGGCATCTTTATCAGGCAATTACACAATTAGCACAGAGGCGACTTTCCCCCCAATTACAACAGTTAACAAATTGTAGAGACAAATTGTAGAGACCAATTGTAGAGGAAAGTTACTGTTTATATTAAAAATTACCAGCTTCGTGCTAAACATATTTTCTCATATATAAATAAAGCAAATAATCACATATATTAATTTACTATTTGCAATTTGCAACTACATTGATTGCAACGCTCTTTTCAAATTTTAAGGAGGCCAGTGCAATCGTTGTCGTAAAATATGTTTTGCATTTTCTCAATTTTTGCATTACCGTCAGGATGTTAAATATATTTACAAGCATGTCGATAATTCTGTATACACTGATTCCTTTTGAGCAATTTGATAGTATCAGGAACATTTCCATCTTTGTCACTTACTCTTGTTAATATTTTATTCAAACCTTTGAAGTCAATAATAATGTCTTTCAAATCGCTGATGTAAGTTAGTTTCTACAATATATTATTTCTATGTTACAAAACGCGGTTGTTGTTCTGAAAGAAATTTGAGTTAATTCTGTGAGTATTAGACAAAACTGTTATGAGGACGAATTCAATAAATTTATTTGGAGCGCTGTGTTTGTTGACAATTTGTAAAGTAGAAATAAAATTGGGATTCACCGATAATTAAAAATTAACTCAGGGTTCAGCACTTGTTATCACTGTGAGAAGTGAACAATCCGAAACTGATTTAGAAATTAACACTAATTGTAGGATATGAAGTTGTGGCTCTTGTATTTTTATCTCTAATGAAACCGCTATATAAAATTTTTACAGCTATGGATGCAGGACGAATAACGCCGCGGACACCAAACTCAGATATAATGGTCTGAATGTGCGCTCGAAACCTTAATTTGGTGTGTTGCATCAAATGAGCCGTCAAGCAATTATTTGATGAATCTATTACTAAAAACATGATATTGCAAAAAATACTATGTATTTTCCTAAATTATCAACCGCGTTTTCAATTGTTAGCCGTGCGTCGTATTTCCAACCATAACACAGTATATGAGATTCTGTTTTGGACAGCCAAAACATATGATGGGAATGCCGCATCAATCAATCCTTGTGTCAAATCATTTAAGATATTTTTGAAATAAGACAAGCAATACCGAATATCCAGCTGCTGAGATTTATTAATGGTTAAGCTATTTCATATGCTTTCCATTTTAAATTTACAAAATCATTTCTCGTAAATAAAAATGTGTGCTCAATCAAAGCCCTTATATTGGATTTTATCCTGCAGGATTGCAACAACCTTTGAATTAAACTTAGTAAATTCGAACAAAAAAGTACGGCTGTTCTCCACCTTAGATAGACATAGCCTCCTATTGTGCTCTCTTCATGAGACCGGAAAACCAACCTAAATTAAAGGGTGGATGATACACTTGTATCTTTAGATTACTTAAAATGTCAAAGGATCAGACGCGCTTTTGCCTAACTTAAACCTGGCAACAGAGTCAGCGTTCATTTACGAACGTACGCTTTTGCTTATTTTCTGAAACTATCCGTTTATTAGTTCGTAAGTCAAGTTCGTGTGTATTGTTCAATGTTATTAGATAACCTCTCTAATTCCCCAATTTTCCAAAACCTGAAGCGTGGACAATCAGTACACTGCGATTGTCTTAAAACACGTCCATTGAAATTTGTCCTTTGGTCTACTCTAAGGCATATCATAATCTAGATTGTCGATGAAATTTTTGTTAGCTCCGGTGAAGGCCGTGTTCCGGAAAACTGGTAGAAATTGCAGTATTCAATATAGATAATATGTATAGTATGTTAGACAATTTTGTATAATTTTATTGCTTTCAGTTGGAAACCTAATTGTGCATTTGTTTAAATATTACGCATCGTACAAAAAGTAGGTTTTTCGCTCGGACGCGATAAAATGCACCCACCCAAAGCGACTAAGTGGATAAAAGAATAACTTCAAAGCGTAAATACACCTTTGTAAACTCACTCTCTTAACTTATAAAGGCTTTATTGCATCATTTTAACAACGTGTAATTTCATGCGATACTTGGAATAGTAATAGCTATGATTTTCGGTTAAGGTAATACAACTAAGCAGGCTCCCTCAGCTCACATCAACCTCCTACGTAAATGGGGAGCAATTGCACAAGGAATAAAGAAAATTATACAACCGTTCCGCCTCGGAAACATCAATTGTGCATTTTAAATTATCAGTAGACTCACGGCACCCAGTTCCGAGCGGAGCTGTACACAAGTTACAGAAAATTCTTCAAACAGGAAAAGCAGATGTTCCAGTCAAACGGTGTCCTGCTGTTTTTAGAGAATGTGCTGAGTTCATGACCAAAACTCTGGCCAGTTTTGCATATATTGTGCATTCTACAAAAGATTTCCTTCTGCTGAATGACCTTCAGCTACACAACAATATCGAATAGGGTTAGTGTAAATATCTCTAATTTGTTCGTACTTCAATAGCATTAAATAAGTCAGGAAATATTAGTAGGATTAGACTGCTGAGACGAAACTGTCAATGGATTCTCTACAAATTGTTAAAAGTTTGCAAAATATGTTGCAACCTTTATTTTGTGCTCGATAGTGTCATAAGTGGGAAATTAATTTAGCTGGAATTTAGAAACGAATTCCGCTGACTAATCTGCCAATTTCTCGTAAAACATCTACTCGTTGCTGGAATAACTCCAGCCATCGTCCTTTTTTGAGTTCCCATTTTACCGGTTGTACTTAAGTTTTCCGATTTTAAGGCGAAAGGTCCGCGACCAAAATCACAAACTCCAGTGCGTTTCGGGTAGCAATGCAGTCTTTATTTCTCTTTTCTTTCCATGTAAGCTAACCGTCAGTTTCAGAAGATAAAACTCTGCTGATATACATAGAAGATATCGTTTGTGCTTCAATCCATCGATCTGTCGGAATGCAAAATATTCATTCTCAACCACCTAAAGTTTTTCCGAAGTCCACCGTCTGCGGCTAACGTTGTCAAAGTTCAATGCTCTTTTCTTTTAGCTTTGTTTCTCCAACAATGGACGGAAAACAACATCAATGGCGGGAATTTGCACAAATTAAATTGGTAAATTATAGAAGCGCCACATTTAGCTCTGATTTATCTTGATCACACCTTATAACAGAAACATTAACAAATGTCCGAATGTTCTAGTGGTTCGCTTCACGCCTGCCAGTATCCTCCGCACCTACATGATTTAAGACTTCGCTTTATCATTTGGGCTTTCTTGCGCTAACCGTATTGTTCACCATTGATTTGTCCTTAACTATTTAGGAAAAATAATATTGATTTCTTGTTAGAACACTGGTAGCGATGCAGCAAGGTATTTAAGATGAGATTTGTTGTTATACTGCCATCCCCTTAAATTTTTATTTTTAATCGACTGGCATAAAGTTTACTTGCAAACACAAGTCATTAAGAAATTTGCAATTTATCTTAACCTGGTCAATTAGGCACAGTTAAAAATACGCA